AATTCGCTTTTTCAGTCATGTACATTCAGGGGCGGGTCCAGGAATTTTTGGTTGGGGTCCAAACTTTGGTTCAGAAAGGACTGTTGGACTCTTTTGGGGCAAATTACTTCTCTCCCAAACCCCCCACACCCCCTCCCACCAGTCATGGTTGCACGTTATAATTCCTTGGCCGCTTACCGTTTACTTGGAGTCATTAATTAAAAAAATCAGCTAGTTAAAAAGTGATATACGATCTTGCGGATTTAAGAATTTCAGTCTCAAAGTTGTAAGCGTCAGATCTGATAGGGGGGGGGGGTCCGGACCCCGGACCCTCCCCCTGGATCCGCCACTGTACATTGGTAAAGAGCCTAAAAAACCTTACTAAGGAATATAGCAGTAGTCCTGTTGTTGGGTGATGATGCTGTAAAGAGTTTGATTGAAACTTCGATAATGGTTGAAAGACTTGTCCTGCTTTCACACTTTTCAGCCTGAAAACTTGCTTTTGGATGAAAAAGGCTACTGCAAATTGGTAAGTTGACATGTCATCTTGCTTTTCATGAGAATAAAATAAAAAAATGTGCTTTGTACTTGCGTAGGATCCGTAATTTCAGTTTTTCAAAACTGTAGTTGGAAGCAATATCTCTGACATCTGAAATATAGCTGTACTTTGAAGTGCGGTTGCCTTAATCTGTGGGAGTTGAGTTAACAGCATTTGAGCATTCAAAAACTTGTTTCGAAGGTACTAAATTTTCCTCTTGTTCCCTTGGATCCCAGGTCGATTTTGGTTTTGCAAAGAGAATAGGTTATGGAAGAAAGACGTGGACATTCTGTGGAACACCTGAGTATGTTGCACCCGAGATCATTCTCAACAAGGTAAACAAATGAATTACCCTCATCTTCATTTGAAAAAAAGTTAAACCAAGCTAATCCTGGTTTACTTTCGACACTTAGTTGAAACTCTCCCTTAAGTCCGGGTAGCAAATTTTTTAAAGGATCAATTTCTCTGTAGTCAGTATGCACCTTTTTCATCGGAAGATAATTAGTGCGATTATTACTGAATGTTTGTTGCCTTCGTAGGGCCACGACTTGTCAGCAGATTACTGGTCTCTAGGAATTCTTATGTATGAACTGCTTACTGGCAGCCCACCATTTACTGGATCAGATCCAATGAAAACCTACAACATAATTCTCAAAGGAATTGATATGATCGAGTTTCCCCGCAAGATCACCAGAAATGCTCATGGTCTCATTAAAAAGCTTTGTCGGTAAGTTCTTGTGGTTTGGTTTCAACACCGTTGTTTAATGGTAGTAAAGAACAACATAAAAACATCATTTTTGTGGCCACCGCCTCCTATAGGAGGGGAAGTCACTGTGTTGTAGAGGTGAGTGAGTGATTGTAACAACAGAATTCCGATCTTGTCCCAATTTTTACCTAGTATTTCGCCGTGCTACTTATTGTTTTTTCGGAGAATCATAGTAGTTCGACATTCACACTCGATACACAGAAATTTCCTTGCAGCAATATCGCAAGAGATGTGATCTGCACATCGTGGAAGCTTTGAGGAATATTATTTCTATGAAAAAAGAGCATTTTACTGTTTGAATCAGCATAGTAATCATTGTTTACCCTTGTTAAACCTTACCGTTTGATGGTTCTTTTTCAATTAGAGGCGAATGCCAGGCAATTATTTCCACCGTGTTTGTTATCAGCCCAGTGAACTGAATTACTACACCTCGTCATTTGTCTTTTAGGGACAACCCAATTGAGCGGCTTGGCTATCAAAAGGGAGGTCTGAAAGACATCAAGAAAAACAAGTAAGTATGACGGTGAAAATGGTTGAGAGATTGCAAACCTTATCATAGTGAATGTCGCCATAGTAATGCCTACTGAAATGGCAGGAGCAACGTCCAGATGTACTACTTTTAGTGGATGTAATTTGAATATATCAACAAAGTTGAAATGGTAAATTGGCCACCTTTACGATTATAAAAGCTGACGTTTCGAGCGTTAGCCCTTCGCTCCGACGAAGGGCTAACGCTGGAAATGTCAGCTTTTGTAATCGTTACGGTGGCCAATTTACCCTTTCAACTTTGTTGATATATTCAAATTATTTCGTTGCCCCCACCGACGCAGCCCCAAACAGTTTCTTTAGAAACTATCAACCTTTATTTTAGTGGATGTGTTAGGTCGTGGTAAGGTAGAAGGAAGAAACCCCCAGAAGATTGTCAGGTTTCATTGTAGCATCTCTCGGTCGGCCTTTGCATCTTTTCAACAGAGGTCCTATTCACATTCACTTACCATTGATGCGCAGGATGAAATAATTCAGTTGGTGTTGTAGCTCGAACTATTAAGCACAGATCCTTCCAAGCAAAGAAATGCTTCTCGCAGTTAGTCTACAAAAGATAAAGAGGCCTGAAATTTTTCAGGTATCGATGAGAGTCCAACCCGTGCCTTCCAGATACTAGTTGGGTGTTACTAAGCAACCAACCTAGCCGCGAAGCCATACGTTTCGATCGAGGCATTAGAGAGATTTTGCACCGAGTTTACGTAAAACGGCAAACATCAGCTTGCCCTTTCACGGTCTACGTAAAATAGCGTGAACCTTGCGGCCTTAGCTTCGATTGAGCTCAATTTATGGTAGATTTGAAGGCGCCCTTGTATCACTTACAAGGAATAGTTTTGGCTCCCCTTTTTTCTGGCAATTAACTTCTACATTGTGACACGCACATGGCAAACGCGAAAAAGGTTACTTTCACGTAGAAACGGCAAAGCGCAACCGGCAAACGTGGGAAAGTAGCGGGAAAACAAGGTTACGTTGGTCACTCTTGCCGTTCACGTTTCACGTAAACGCGGAGCCAAATCTCTCTCTCATTTACGCTCGTTGACTTTTCTTACACTCGAAGTAACTTACCATAACTCTCTGTGTCTAGGTGGTTCGATGGTTTTAACTGGGACGGATTGAAGCAGAGGATACTGAAAGCTCCCATCGTCCCTAAGGTTTGTAATCTTTTACTGGGAAGTGAATGAGATAAGTCACGCAATGCCCAAAAAAGTACTACGTGACGACCCATATAAGGTTGTCTTTTTATCAACTTGTAGTTTTAATTTAATCACACTATTTTCTAGAAAGACATTTTTACAAACGCGAATGAAGCATTGAACCCATTTTTTTTCTTTGGTTGAGGGAGGCATTTGGTGGTGCTAAGTTTTACTAAGAGACGCAAGGAACAGATTTGCTTTCGGTAGACAACTTACATCATAACACACAACACTGACATGGCAGGCGAATAGTTTCGTAGTTTGAAAGTATTGTTTTTACTCCCGAGCAGAAGTGTGGAGTAAATTGCGTTACATCTACAGCTTGGTTCCGTAGCTCCGAGACACGTCACGCAAACCACTTCCTCAAAGGTAGCTTCTAAAGTTAACAACAACACCATTTCTCATTTAGATAAAGTCTCCAACGGACGCATCCAACTTTGACGACTACCCACCCGATGACGAGATACCTCCCGATGACACAACAGGCTGGGACAGGGAATTCTAATCTAGTTGTTAGTGCTATCGCCTTCCGCATGCTACTTAGTACCTCCAGTGTATCTCCAACGGGGTACCTTCAGTATACAGAGCAAGATGAACAATTCCTTTTACGCAGTTCCTATCCCTTCTGTTTAATTTCCTAAGTCCTTCCCATTCATGTTCTAAGTATCGGGATAAGAAATTAAATTTTTAACTTTCTTTTAAGAGTTTTAATATAGTTTTTGTTTGTTCCTGGAAAAGTCCATTTTGATTCGAAAGCGAAGTAACAACTGTAGAGTCGCTTTCTTCAAAGTAAGTAAAGAAATTGCATCGATATTTTAGGATTTCTTAGTTGCAGTTACAACCGAAGTTTCAAATTGATCTTGCTCTGAAAATGTTTTTATGGTTATTATTAATGTGATAAGCAAGACTGTGAATGATAGACTTGCAATTGTTTTATAATTTTGCTGACATAGGTTTTTTTTCTCCTTGTCACCATCCATTTGTGCCTGACGAAATCTGCGCACAGTTAAATTGAGCGCTGGAGGGATAGCGATTGTTTTAGAAAATCGTAAAAAGCAGAAGATCGGCAAGAAGTCATGAAATAATTATTCTCATATTTTAACAATGTATTATCCCTAATTGGTTTGCTTTGGAGAGTGTTATTATCCAAGCATACCCTCATATTTTTAATAATAAATAATGTAACGTCTTAAAAGTAAATGGTAGTAAACCCGAAAGGGGAGAACAATTTTAATTGATTATCAATTTGTAAACGAGTCATTTCACTGTGTTCTTCAGGACCTTTGCAAACAGAAGAGCAAAATTTAATATGTGTTCAGCATATTCTGCTCCTTTGAGACAATGCTTCCAATTTTCTTTCGGAATAGTGTGTTGAAGATATGTAAATAATTCAGTCACAATTAATAGTAATAGAAACTGACATTAGTACCCTGTCACATAAATATATCTCCTAAAGATACTTTCCTTGTGGTACTAGATTTCACTATTTCCGCGCTTCTAACGCAGCCTACGAATTTGTGGAGAAAGCAAATGTTTTGCATCCAATAAGGTTGGAATAATATCAAAACAGTTACGTTCGTAGCTAAACCGTCTTAAATAACACCCTTACCAAAGGAAAATAACAAAAAGCGAATTTTTCTATCAGTGACACGTTATGATCTGAACTAGCATGGTGAATAAGTTACGCTTGTTGTTTCTAAGAGATTCCTTTATAACCTGGGTTACCTTATTGTCAAGTTATCTAGGGCGTAAACTGCTTTAAGTAACTTATACAAAGTAATTACTCACTTAAAAACTAAATTTATTTTGTGACAGCCCTTTAGAGACTAGTCACGCGTTATTTGTATCGTGTAGCGGTCAGGTGGTCCTGCTGGTATGCAGAATATGCCTTGTAACACAATCGTTATCACGAAAGTAGTTGATTTATTTGTTAGGATCTATGTGGAGCTGGTTTGGTCGCGAAGTCAGGAGAGCAAGTCGGTTGTCTGTGCAACGAAGTGCTTATCAATGCTGAATTTCGGTGCACGCACACTTTCAATTGACTCTGCGTAACAATGTATTTCCTCCTTCTTTAGAGTGTTCCACTCATAAGTGTAGCAGAATGACGGGGTACTCGCAGACTCGCAATGTAAGAAAGCTCTTCTGAGTTCCAGCTGCCAACGACATTCCTAAAAGAGAAAGATTTTAACCTTTTACCTAAACGGTGAGCAGTTCTATGCTATGTTTTTCAATATCTTACAAGTAAGAATATAAATTACTCATTGCAATAAACGAACTAAAAATCACACAAGGCAGCTAACTTTGCTCTTCAAATAACTATTTGGCGAAATCAATTTTTACGTAGGATTTACCATTTAATTGTTTTATCTATGTGGGTATAGATAGGCGGTCATTAATTTTAAGAAAGTAACTTTCTAAAGTTTTCAACATCGTTTTTAAGGTTTTTAGGAGAATTTTATGTCGGTTATTTATTTCGGACGCCCCTATCCGTATGAAATTGTATTCGTTAGGAATTGAGCAGTGCACGGTGGGTTTGATACATCGTATCTGTGAAATGAAATGAATTATTCTCTTGGTAGTTTTCTATTTATTTCTTCTAGAAATGGTAATCATAAATATAATCAGATAAAGCTGTGAAATGAGAGCGTCATTAAAATTTTTTAACCACTTCATCACTCGCCTTTGTCGAAGTAAGCGGTATTAAGGGTGTGCTTGTGTCAGGGTCCATACGATCCGAGTATTGTTGAGAGGTCTAGTATTTCCTCAAACTCTTGTAAGACGCGTATAAAGTCTGCACTAGTTGGCTTGATTTCCATCGTTTAATAGTGAAGTCTTCGCTCATAGGCGGCTCTTATATGATCTTAACCCTTAGGTCACTAACATCAGGTTTCGTATTCTTCATACTCTTTTTCATACCTGATTTTCTTGGTGAGAACCATACTGTCATCTTTGATTTCTAAGAGCAGCGGAAGACTGGGAAAGAGAACTAAATTTTACAGACTACCAAGGGGGTGGGCAACGGCCAAAACAAAGCGGCGAGAGAGAGAGGGAGTGGCAATAAAGATTCTTGCCCAGATCTCCCCCTCGCACCACCACTACCAACGCAGTTCTTTCTAACTTTAAATCAAACACGGCCGGCTGAATAAACGATCGCGAACTTTTTCATGGTAACTTGCCCCAATAAAGCTGCCGCCACTACAGATCACGACCAAGCGCCCAATACCTCGTTGCTGGGTAGCGTGCGACTCACCTGGTAACGGTACCCGCAAAATCTACATTAGGCAGTGATAGATCCTCCGCTCGAGATAAAATTGTCTCGTATTTAATTTGTCCTATTCAGTGTTACTATGTGATCAACGACCACGAAACTTTACCACATTACTAATAACTTCCATTTAATACTCATAATCAAGCAGCTGCTTTTAAAATACCTTCAACCCTTACAATTAATTTTAAATATCAACGCTACTGCTCAAATAACAACTAAAAATTAATTCACTTACAATAAATTTTACTAAGAAGACCACTTTAAATAGAGTGAATTCTGTTCGAGATTTTGTTTACCTTACTAACTGTAAATAAATGCTAAATATTCTTAGGGTACACAGTACCTTCTGTCAAATAGAAATGATTTTATCATACCTTACATCATGGTCAAGGAATCGTTAAATACGGAAGGAAAGTTTTCTTTCACTCAGTGTGACTAATAAAAGACGCATAAATATATAATATTTACCCATTATTCCGCCCTGCTACCTTACAGCTCGAATTAAGCTGACATCAGAGAAATGAACACGATATTCGTGCTTTCATTCTTAATTCAGAGTTAACATAGATGGGGATAAACATAAAAACAAAACTACGTAACCGGAAACAAAACAAGTCAAAAGTCCTACCCAAAAGAAGTCGCACTCTTGGAGCAACTTATGGAGAGAAGAAACAATATATTTCTACATTATTCTACAAATACTATTCCCCTTTTTGTCTCTTTTGAGTCATACTAACCCGTGTTTCAATCTAATTATGAAACGGTATCGCACTTATTTCAAAAACGAAGAAAATTACTTTCTTGCCAAGTCCACATTCGCCTTATTCGTTTCCTTCACATGATATATCCAGTAAATAAACTACAATTTCCTTCATGATCGTTATCGAACCGACGAATATTTTTTGCAAGGAAAATGACTTAAAACGTGCACAGATCATACATTTCAAGAAGTTTCAGCCGTTTTGTGGCACAATAGAGAGCAAACGATAAAAGCTGTTCTGTGCTCTATGATGCTTCATTCGTTTTCCTATAAACTACTGAAAAATTGAAAATCCAGTATATTATGACCAAAATTAAGCTTAAAACATAACAGTCTACGCCGTTTACTTCTCGTTAACAAAATTACTCTGTAATTCTATGCTTTCATAAACTTGAGCTTCTAATATCAAACAACACACCCCCCCCCCCGGCCCTTTCCCGCTCACAAGCGGTTGAACCTACGTTATGCTCACACTGGACAGTGTTAATGAATTTCTTTGAATATTTAAGGGTGTGCTCGGTCTTTTCGGCGCGATTTGGCCTTCAAAGTTTTCACCTATAACGCTAGTGATTCCACTATCATCGCTCTCGAACGGGGCATCGTCATCGTCAACCGACGTTTCTTTCATTAAGTTGATCTTCAGACGCATCGCCTCCCTCTGTGTTCTCATTACGCAAATCTTTCCTGAGCTAACTGGACCTGGTGACAACCCAACCATGTGATTCGGCTGCGAAGGCTGCTGCGCGGAACTATCTTTTGACCGATCCTCACCCTGATCCGGTGCGTCCATTTCCAAGGATTCTGAATCCGAGGATGGGATACAAACTTGCTGGTTCGCGCGGCTACGGAAGAATTCTCTAGCTTGGGCTTTTTGTTCTCCCTTGGGTGGCCGGAGGGGGACTGGCTGCGACAGAGAATCATGTACCTGATGAGCGGCTGACATGGTCGGAGGGTTTTGGTCTGGGGCCTGGGAAGCGACAGGATAAAAATGACTCAATAGTAAACGTGAACTTTGCACCCTCCAATGAAAATAAGCTGTATCTCACAGAAAACCTAAAAATGCTCCTCTGACGCACACGAGGAAACGTCCACACCTATTATGACCACACACAATTTTATTTCGGATGTTACGGTAACTTCTTCGTACTCTATTACACATCCTTACTAGGGATGATTTTCACGCACGAGTACAGCGCACATCAAAAAAATAGTGGCTACCGACAGGGCTCTCTTCCCACCCCTCTTAAACTCAATACTTTTTGTTATACGAACTGTGTTACACTTCAAGAAGACAACATTTTAAGCAAAACGCCACGGCCAGTTTTGAGCTAATTACAAAGATTAGACGTAGAGCCATTTCGAGAGTAACCGCCCCCCCCCCTCCCCCCTTCCGAAATAAAATCTATTTTGGAGAAAAAATTGATCGCGTAGTTATTAAAAGACATTTTCTGACTCTGCAGACACAGAGACGACGAGGTCATGCATACAAGTCATACACTGACGTCATGAAGATCTGTCGGAACGAAAAGCAGTCAATATCTACACTCGTTTGCCATTGAGCTCTTTTCGTTTACCGATAAGAAGCTCTGTACAACTGGTATTTAAAAGACGATTACCTTATCGTTTGGCGAATTTACCATACCCTCCTCGGAATCTGCTGTATTAAAATAAAATGTCACTGTTAGGATATGTCAAGAGCATTAACATTACGCGTTCAGGTCCAATAGACTTGCCCCAAGTCGACTTCTTTTATATACCACGATTCAATTTCGGTGAAGCCGAAATTTACGATGACCTCTCGCGAACTTTGGAAAGTCTAAGGTCCAATGGCGCTACGAAGAGAAGAACTATTCACATCGAAGGGAAAATCAATTTCAAACGAGAAAGAAAACGCGGTACTGAGGTGTAGAGCCATAACCCGAGTCCTTGTCTTCGAGGATAGGATACTTAACCCTGAAATGTGCTTCTCTTCGACGTTGTGTCTAAATAGATCAGATTACTGGTAAGAGGGGGCTTTGGAACTGATGTATTAGGGATTGCCCCGAAGTAAAGACGACAGGAGGTAAGCGGATGACACTTTCTACTTCCCCCTACACTTTTTGAATAACCCTTAGTTCCCATCCCGGAGAAACCGCTGACGTTTTTTAACTATGGTAATAAAAGGTAAAGGGAAGTTTAACCCTAAGAAAGCTGCTATTTGGTAGACAAACTCGAATCTTGGGCTCACCCGAATTGTACTTTTCAAAGCAGTCATCCTTATTTTCCGATGAGGAGCAAGTCAGCTGAATAACAGGAGCACGAGCAGAGGTCCGTCCGTTTGACATCATTTTCTTAGGATCGGGTGACTGGGCATTTTCTCTTCGTGGTGGAACGGGTGGGGGAGGGAGAAACTCTTCCTTCACAGAACTACTCATACTTCTTGATCCACTGTGACGTCTACCCTCCCTAGCGGATGGAGCAACAGGCTGTGTTCTTCCATTTGGGAGAGGTGTGCTCATATGAGCGGTAGCCGTACAACTCGAGTTACTAGGTGATTTTAACAGTCTGGGTGGCAGGGGAGGAGGGTTGAATTTCTTCCGTGGGGGGAGGGCTGGCGCGGGGGCGTGGTCGTCTATGGTTTGTGGACACTCGATGTCAATCGTGTCACGATCAAGCCCATCTATTGGACAAGATGCTTCAGTTCTTTCATTAATACTTTGGTTTGATCTGCAAGTATCATTCTTCAAGTCCGTTTGGACATGTTCGACGTTTCCAAGTTTTCTTTGCTTCTGTTTGTTTGTAGAAGTAGACGATAAACTTGCTGAAGCCGTTTGTTTTGCTGTTTGATCAGCCGTGAAACCCTCTTTCTCCAACCAATCCTCTTTGGAAACCTTTTTCGCTGTAGGTTCATCCTTCCTTGCATCACTACCTTTGGATATCTTACGCAGAATCTTGGAAGCGGGTGAGAATTTTGCAGTAGTATCAGGTGATTCTTTGTCTTTTTTCACTTTTTCCTCTCTGGATGTCTTGCGCGAGGCTTTTGGTGACGACTTGGACGATTTTCTGCTCATCTGAGGGGACATTTCTGGTGTACTTGGTTCGCTTCCTGAAAATCGTCCTTGAACATCCATGACATCGCCGGGCGACAGCGAATCTCTCCTACATTTTTCCGGTAATTCTTCGGATGCCTCACCTCGCGACTCGTTACTCCCTCGCCTTGGTTTTCGCGCATGCTTCCACACTTTCTTCACAAGTTTGCTGGCCTTTGAATCTTTACGTTTCATATCTTTAAGTCCATCGTCCTCTAAGTTTTCGGTCGATTTCCATAAACTCTTCTCTGAGGGATCGCTATTAGTAGTGAATAAATCATCATGGCTTCCCCCGTGAGAAGTTGAACAGGTCGGAAGTTCACTACCTGGAGCCAGGTTTGTCGCACACTGAGCCAGTTCATCTCTCATTTCAGTTTTCTCAATAAGCCGTGCCTGAATGGCCGCCTCTCCGCTCAGGTGGCTGGAATTGATATTACTCTTGATAGGAGTTCGAAATATTAGCGGATCTACGTTGCCCATACCCTTGGCGAAGAACGTCGAACGATGAGCGGCCGCCAATTCGGGTCTTTTCTGGAGTTCTTCGGAGATTTCCGTGGTGGATCGTCTTCGGATCACTTCGCTGGACGTGGGACGAACTGGCAATGGCGGAGGACCCGGAAAGGGAGGACGTAATCCGAATCCTTCAGAATGTGAATTACTTTTCTCGATAACAGAATGTTTCTTGAGTGAAAGATGAGTAACTTTCCCCTTCACTGAAGTTACCGATGTTTGTTGGACTTCACGCACCGTCTCCACGGAAACAGGCCCAATACTGTTGCGCTTACAACGCGGAGATGGAAAGAGGTTGACATCGTTTTCTTGCGGTTTCTCCATCTGAGCGACAAGTTTTTCGTACATATTTTTCATCAGCTCAGGATTAGAGGTATCAAAATTGAAGGGGGCCCGAAGAGCATCGCTTTCTGGTTTAGTTTTTGGAGGTAAAACGTTTTCCGACTTGACAGCTTCCTCCTTTTCTAACTTTGATTTTGGTTGGATTTCACCGCAGTTCGCGTCATTTAGTTCGGAAAATAGATTCTCGCGTGTTTTTTGACTAACTCGCGCAGTAGCTAGTGAAAGTTCTGGGCTATTACTCTTCGCTGAATGTGCATCAACAGGAGAGCCCTGTAGACTATGGTTACCGGAGGTTTCGCCCATCTGGTTATCCGTCCATTTCTCGGACACGAAACACTCTAAAACGTTCCCGTTTCCGTCGAGGCCGCTTTCAGTTGGCCCAGGCTGTAAGGCCTCGCATTTTATATATCCTTCAGAGTCGATTTCGTTTTCTTCCGTAATTTGTTGTACATTTGTAAAGGTCCTAGAAAAAGAATTATCCGTGCGAATGCTCTCCTGTAGTACCTCGGATCTAACATATCCTTCAGAGTCCATTTCATTTTCTTCCGGAATTAACTGCGTGTTTGGGAAGGTCCTGGACAGAGAGTTGGCAGAGCGCATGCTTCCCTCTTCGCTTCCAAATGAGCTCGTGCTTGTAAAGGAATCGGTGGAGGTTTTACGTGAGGGCGGAACTGGATCGGAAATGTGGATCGGCTCCGCGTTCTCGTCTGAGAGTAGATCGATGTAAGGGCTGATTTCCGACTCCTCGCTCACGCCGTTGTTTGCATCAATCTCGGAATATGCTCGCCGTGTAACAAATACGTCATCATCACTAGTTTTTTCGACAGACGACTCGGTGGCAGATCTCGATCGGGATACAACGTCTTCTTCTCTTACACTCTGTTCAGCGGCTCCATTCTCATCTAATCCCTGGCCTACGAAGGGATCGGTATCGGCTCGTTTTCTGGCAATTTCAGTCGCCAAACTATTATCCCTTTTCAGTACACTCGCAATCCTTCCCGTTGGCGCGGTCATCATTTTTGAAAGCTTTTTGGGCGAACCAAGACTTGGTGGAGACCTCGATTGGCTGTTGGTCGAGCTCCTTCGGAAAGCCTCGCGCTTCTCCGCTGCCGACTTGACGACGTAGCGCGAGTGATGTCGAATTTCGTCGGCGATAGTGTCGCCATGTTTAGTCAAGAACTGGAATATTCCTTCACCGGTCGAAGTGCGTCTGTTTAGAGAAAGAAATAGTGAATTTCTTTAAGTCTACGGGAGGGTTTACCATTTATATAACATTTCGGTGGTAAAGTCTTACCTTCCAACCTGTAGTGTGAGAAGATGCATATCTTTAGCTGCTACATTAACTGCGGGTTCACTCTTAAAAGCTCGTAAATCAGCCACAGCCCACGACACCACTGTCTGACTCCTTTCAATAGCAGACTTTAGGAGTACCTCTCCATCAGAAATACACATCAGAAAATCTCCCCTGATATTGTTCTGCTCTGAATGGGGGGTGAGCCTTGTAGTGACAAAATAACCTGTTGATGGAGAGACAGTGTGGCATTTACCGCAGGTAAGTCAATTCAACGTTGGAGGAAGGTTAGGGAATTAATGTAGGGAAAGGGGGGGAGGGGTAGGGGGAGGCATACCAAGCTAGTGCACCGAAAAAAAGACACTGTTTTCATCTACTTTTAAGGTTGTAAACTGTTAACTCTGCAAATTTTAAGAGTGAACAAGAAAAAGTTGACAATTCCATGAAAACTTTAGTTGACAGGTTTTGCTCATAAAATGGCATTTGAATTAGTCAGTTAAACTGTCTACAAAATAGACGTACTATTGTAAAAAATGCTCTGTAGTGACTTTTTCACAACATTAATGCGCCAATCAATTCGAAACTTCAACATCCCCACCCAGGCCACCCATAGGCATTTGACCATTATTCATGCCAGGGAGGTAGAGAACTTGAACTTTGCCTGGGTGGGGTGGGGTGGGGCATTTGAACCGGAAGTGTCAAGTCTCTCCCAATGTAATACACCTATTTTAATGAAAGAGTTTTAAGATGAAGAGTCTGCTTATCCCTGTTAATGACTGCATTTGGTGAGCAAAAGCAAAAACAAAAAAAAACAAAAAAAAATATTTGCCTCATAATCAGTCTATTTAGTGCCATTCTTACAAACCTGCTGCCTTGCAGGTTGCCCCTGGGGACACATCTGCTGATTCACTATGTGACTTGGAATGCAGTGTTGACAACCTGGTAGATAATTGTCTTGGAAGCTCTGGTGTTGAGACCGGACTGACATCAACTGTGACATTTGCCCACATGTCTGAGGAGTTTGTTCCACCTTCTTTAATGGAAACTCTGTTCAACATCAACAACCAGTCTTTTCTGGCTTGTTCTGTATCACAAGCCAATGTTAAAGCTCCCTGCTTACTGCACACCACCATTATTGGATAGGAATTGGCCTTAGAACTTTGTGTTTTACCAATGAAGGCAATTCTATCCAATCCAAAGGAATACTCCACTGATTTTTGAAATCCAAATGCAGTTTCATCCTTGTAATACTCCAATCTCTGAGCTGAATTGTGTGTCTTGTCTCTCAAAACAAAAAATTTTGATTGCCATGCCTAAAAAAAGAGGGACAAGGTTATGAAATAGTAGTTGAATCATTTAGTCAACCTTCTGACGCCTATAGGAGTGACTAGTTTCTAATTTCTCCTTACGATATCAAGTACCTTGAATCATACATTAAGTTTAGGACAATAAAGGAAATGATCAGCAATGAAGAGGCTCTTGATTTTTAACTGAATTCTCCTTGTCAACAACTCAGGAAATGTATGAAGAAAAGTATCAAGAATAAGCATACTGGTGTTAAGGTGTACATGGGTTAAGATGAACTTATTTTAAGAGTAGTTCCTGTAGAAGTTAGGGCACCAGCAAAACAAAATTAAGGTAGGAGTAACGAAAAAGGACTGAGACAGCTAATCTGTCAACTCCCAGCATCATGGGGCCTGTTGTTTTTAAAACCTTTTGTCTGATTTTGTTTGTGCGAAGTGTAGAGTAAAGAAATTAGGAGGTCCCCTGACTTTTGCCTGATTTAAATAATTTCCAGTCCATCTCCTGACCCATGCCAACCTAAGAATGATTATTATCTTTTAAAAGAGTAATTGAATACAACTGTGCATTTTGTGATACCCTTGAACTCTTCCATCAAAATTTGCAAAAATGTGATGTAAAAAATCTAAAAATAAAACTGGGTAAAGTTTCTAGAAAGAGCAGTGCAGTTTAAATGGGGTTTTTAAATTCTTCACTTCAAGGCTAGACTTCACAGCTATACTGTACTAAAATGTGTTAACTGGGTGGTCAAAACTACATTGTCTGCTTCATAATATTTCATGGTTTATCAGCCTTGTCTAATCTATCCTATGGGTAGAGTAGTAAATGGCTTGAAACCGGGGGTAACATGTGAAGGTGTATCCTATGGGTAGAGTTAAAAAAAAAATTTACTAAACAAACACTGAGCAATAGTGAAAGCATAATATCACTGAGGAGTCATCATATAAATTATGCAAAAGCTTAGAAAGATTTAGCATTGACTTAACCAAGTGATACATTACTTTCGTGCAATGCCATCCTACATTGAAATTCACAGGTTATTTATTATTTTAAAGAGAATGGAGAGAGTTGTTTTAGCTTCTCCATGTCAATTCCTGGCACTGTGACAACAAAAATGTTAACAGTAAACTTCATGTAAAGGCCCAACATTTCTTTTTATTAAAGTTTATATACAAGTATTGCACTATTAATTTTGCATAATGACAGACTGCAGCTGTCACATAAACTAGAATATTCTTGACAGGTGCTGATAATTTCTATCATAAAGGCTACAATTGTATATACATGCACATTTAGTTAAGATTTTTCTGTTTCAGTCTCAAAATTCAGTTAAGAAAGGTTACACACAGCAGCTCAAAGGAAGTATGGTTTTAAATGATATGAAACCTTTTCCTAATAAATGATTTCAAGTTGTTAATGAATCAGCATTCAAAATAAGCAGCTTAAGATAGTTATAGCAGTTAAGTTCTTGTTGCTTGAAATTTCAAGGTAACTATGCAGCAATTTTTGAGACAGTAAAAAACATCACAAAGATCAAACATTCACTTTGTGAAAGAGACAAATTTATAGCTTCATTGTATTGGAAAGAATGACATTTTGGATGCATCAATGACCCCAAGCATGGGTTGGTTCATTACACTCAGGCTTCCCTTTTTTGCAGAACTAATAAAGAAGGATGTGGTAGAGGTAAAAAAAAAAAAGCTGATTTTTTTTTAATCAGAATGGCTGTCTCAGTGATTTCCTGTTTAGAACAATCCCAATCATTAGATTCTGTGGTTCAGCTATGACAAATTATTAGCCCAGGGACAATTTTTTTCATGTGCAATCAAGTTTTGATATTTTCATACAATGGAAACAAATAAGGAATCATGAATTTCTAGGGGACCCCCTTAGCTATCCAATGTCATATCCCTAATTCCTAACAGCCAGTTGCATGCTTTAGACTGGATGGTCAGATCAGAGATTGCCCAGTGCATTTGTCATGAAAAGCGTGCACTCCTGAACTAATCATAGAAAAAAAAATGAACCTTTTGTACAATCCCCTCCATTCTCTCAGACTGATTGTCAAAGCTTTTCAGTAACAAATCAATCCTTTGTAATTGTACTCTGAAGATCTTGATAAATTTGTCAACAATAACTTTTCACTGAATAGAGAGGCATAAAAAGTTATTTCATCATCTATAATAAAAGTATACTAGAGGTCTCAAAACACCATCATAACAGAAAGTTTGTCTGCAGAGTGACAAAGTCCTTAGGACTGACTCTGAAGTTCACAAATCTCAACTATGATTTTCACAGAACTGTGTCAAAGACAGGTTCTGTTATAAATAATTGTTTGGCAAACACAGAGAATAAAGTTAACTTTCCGTGCTCAGTACTGAATATAAAATATATGATTCCTCCTGTTTTCACAGGCACACAGAAAACAATGACACCAATCTATATCTAGAAACATGGAGCAGCCCAACCAAATGTGATGATGACTCACTTTTGACAACACATCCTCATTATGAACACAAACTCTGTATTTCGCTCACCTTAATCCGAACTTTGGTTGATGATGGCGGTCTTTTAATCCTCATGTAACCATACTTAATTATGTCTCCAGCTTCAAAAACCTCGTGGCTATTAACATCGACCATGACTACTATGTTACCAATGCAGTATTTTTTCAATTCCTGTCACAGGGCAAAAAAAGAAAAGAATTTCAGGAAATATGGAAATAAGATCTTCGACACATTATTTGAAGAGGTGTACACAGAAAAACTAGGAAAAACACATAGCATGATTAGAAAAGGCAGATTATTACCAAGACTGAAAGAGAGTAAGAAATAACATTGATAAGGACTTTTCCTCCATTCTTAGTAACTGTTTGAACCTGAGACAGTGAAAGAATAATAATCGACGTCTGTCTTTAAAAAAATTTGATAAAAATTCTAGGCTTACGAAATGATTTCAGCACAAACGGAATTTGATCAACTCGTTGCCATATTAGCCGAGAAAAAAGGAAGCCGGACAGACGTAAACTAAATGGGATTAAACTTTCCTTCCTGAAGCAAGCTTTTATTCTAGAGCGATGATACGGTTCACTGGTTTTCACCCGCGATGTGTCAGGGGAAAAATGAACGGATTTTGAACCAAAACAAAACAATCAATATCTTGGCCGGTTCGGGCATGATATCGGCGCGAAAGCATCACAATCAGAGTTCCTAACTTTCATTTGAATTTCGTTTCATCATTTTCTCCGAAGCTGGACGTGAATTTCATTCAAACAGCAGCAGCATAACGTGATTACCATTATCTAATAGTCATGTTCAAGGTGCACTTATTAATGACCGCATGCAAGTCTGTGGAATGAAAATCTCCTAATATCTGTTTGGAACGGCAATGCTGGATTCTGTCATGATGAGATAGAATAGCATTGCAAAATATCTGCCGAGAGAGCCAACTTTAATTTCGCACTTCCGTAAAACTGAAAATGATCGCGTGGTTTTGGGAAATTTGATGCAAAACCGCAAAGAAGTGCGAATTTTGGAAATAACCTAACCAGAAAAAATTTCATCACGCACAACTTGCGGCATGGAAAGGGCAACCACTCGGTATCTTAGTGGATATTTTAAAGTCCAAACAATTTTCAAAATTTCAATTACATGGCATGTAAGTATAATTTAAATTACTTCCTTGCATCCTGCTGATTAGAAGCTTTACTATATCGTCAAAGTTCAATAATCAGTCACCGCGTTCGTTGAAATATCGCAAAACAGTTCACTGTAACCAGGCGAACCACACACACGAATTTCAGCAGTGATAGCATACACACGAACAAATTCTCACCTCTCATTCTGTTTGACGTCCAAAGTTAGAAACGAGTCTACCCCCAGACAAAGCCCACAATAGTAAACGTGATGAATCTATTGTGAGTATAACGACAAGCTAAAGTCACTCGGTTTCCTCTCGCAGAAACGTTTGACTTGATGGCACGCAGATACAGCTTACATCAAGGCAGACGTCGGTTACACCGCATATTCACAATTTCCATCATTTGCATGCAGCAAAATGGAAGACTAGGGGGTCAGTTATTAGCGTAAGATAAAACTATGAAAGTCAAAATAGCCACCAAGAAGATTTTCAATGAAGACTTCACACGGCTCGATTGAATGAACACGGTAGCTTTGCTCTGGTATTGAGTACTTTTCCACTTGAATGACAGCAGATGATCACAATTTTTTGATCGGAAGGTTTCGATCGCTCAACATTCGGATAATAATCACAATCCCCTCGACATAGCTGATTTTCCCAGCTGTCAAAACAACAGAGCTTATAAATTATTCTATTTCCCAACCTTTTCTTCCTTTCTGCAGGAAAAATCTCAACTTGCTTTGTATTATGGGAAGGCTTGGTGACCGCTCACATGGTGCAGAAACGGCAATATGTCGGAACGTAAAGTGCTCAACGTAAGTATGATTCAAATTTACTGCCTTTTCTGACAGTGTGATCGAGTAATTTTGTGATCATTACCTGAAAAATAGAGAACACATTCTAAGGATGTCGATAATGACGTAACTACGGGATAAAATAAGCTAGGTGACCTAGCTTTTAACCTTGTCGTAGCCAAGTTCAAGAAAAACCACCGCTAATTAGACAATGAGTTATTAGATCATTCTACTTCCTCGACTGCATATCACTACAGATGTTTTTGCAATTACCAAGTGTTTTGGTGCATTGATATTTTATAATCTTTTACTGAGGGTCTTTCTCAATACTTGTCAATGTATTTTCTCCATATTACTTTGTACTAAAATAATTGTGATCTTTGGAATTACATATTTCTGATTGTGTCCTGTCTTCAACTTCCTGTTTCTTATTTATGTATACTAGGTGACGTGATCGGTGTCTGACTAGGAAGGCAAACATAGTTCTATATAATGGCTTTTCGGCAAGATTTCTGTTTAACCCCATACTATCCTTTGATTAAAGAAATTAGCATTGATAATTATAGATTTCCTTTGAGACTGAGGCTTTGTTTTAGAATAGTTTGGAGCTGTACGGAAATCTTACATTCCTGTTTTTATATATATAACAGAATTTATTACACGACTCGGGCAGTCAGAGGGCCAATAACTAAAATCAACCGATCAAAATACTCATATTGCCAGTTAATATTCTCTAGGTATTGGACCGGGCACTGTCCTGAATGGTCCTGAATGATACTGCACTTGTGTCCCTTTGAACTTCAGTCGTATAATAAATCTCGTATTAACCAAGCTTGCTCGGGACCGTACTGGAAGAATATCTGCCCTTGGTCTTTTTTGTATGGACCTCGCTGTGCTTGGTCCGTACTGTCAAGACCTTGGGCTGATATTCTCCCAGTTTGGCCCTCGCACTTGGTTAATAAGATATATATCAAAATTTCTCTTTTTTTTGTCCTTTAGAAATATTATCCTCCAGATTTTGATGCTTCTAAAATCCCCAAGCTTGGACTTTCTAGAGATCGTCAGTATGTCGTGAGACTTATGGCTCCTTTTAACATGAGGTAAGTTCTTTTTTTTTTTTTTTAATGTCAACCAAGCAGAGAGAGAGAGATGTCAATCCCTGGAATTCTGAAATGTGGAAATGTTTGATATTTGTCACCCCTTCAACATTCATGTTAAAATTGTAGCAAGCAGTTGTCATGATGCTAGACCACAAAACAGGCAGTTTAGAATGAGAAAAAACAGTTTAATGGAAGGAACAACTGAAAAATACAATGAAGCACTACTGGGAAATATCATTATGTCACATAACATCAATAGCAGTAAAGTTTATGCGACTTTATTTCTAGGTGCACAACTTGTGGAGAGTACATTTACAAGGGAAAGAAATTTAATGCAAGAAAGGTGAGTACATAAAAACTGATACCCTATGGTTTAAAGGAACTTTGTTAAGGTGCAAGTCCTAGTTTAGTCCTAGTTTAGTCCCTGTTTAGTCCTAGTTTAATTTTTAACTTGTCTGATAAAGTAGTAAAACTGCATCACATAAACATAATAATTGTCTTTGAAATATTTCATTATAATTGCCTTTGATAAAACTATAAAAAAATTGTGAACAACAAGTAATTAAGAAAAGATGATAATTTTGCAACAAAAGATAAGCTAGATAGGGGTTACAAATACTCTCAACTATTGTGCAAACAGTTCTAATTGAAGTCTTGAAGTATCCTCCTTCGCAGACGTTCTTTGGGCTCGTCATGCAATCTTCCTCCCCCATGAACGTCTGCTGAAACGAATGGGTTGTTTAATTAGACCAATCACAGCGCACTTCCCAATCAAGGCAGTGAACTTTGAACCTTGATGAATTTTCTCTTGTTGACGGTGTTTCCTGGGCATGTAGCCAAGTGCTTCCACTGAGTATATCATAACTTTCGCCTATTGTTCAATCATTTTCGGCATTAGAAGTAATAGAAGTGGTAGGGTATTGTTAAAATTTCAGTGATTTGGCTGCAGATCGTTGCTGCACTTGTAAAGCTGTTATAGGTTTGATCAGCACGTCAATGTTCTCAATGTCCCCATCCTTTTCAGCAAAATTTCGACGTAAGCGTTTTGTTCTATTTGCTACTTTCTCAGAGTCTTCCTTTATCTCATCCTGAAGGGATCGCAGATTTGTTTTAGCTTTTTCAAAACTAAGTAACCGCTTGTAGCACTTATTACAAACGAACAGTCACTGGATGAAAACAACTCAAATCTGTTTGCACAGTGCATTCAGTTAAGTGTGCAATATCCACTGAACTTATGATGCACGATCCTCGCAGTAGATAGTGCTATTTAAGCAATAGCGAAAATCAGACCTGAAAAAAATCAGGCCTGTATGGGATTCGAACCACTGACCTCTGCGATACTAGTGCAGCGCACTACCAATTGAGCTAACAAGCCAACTGGGAGCAGGCCGTTAAGTTGATTCGTAATAAACCCATGAAAGTGATAAATCAGATACAATGAAATATATGAAGTTCATATATTTTGAACTGCGGTATTAGATACGTATGATGCACGATCCTCTCAGTAGATAGCGCTATTTAAGCAATAGCGAAAGTCAGACCTGAAAAAAATCAGGCCTGTACGGGATTCGAACCACTGACCTCTGCGATACTAGTGCAGCGCACTACCAATTGAGCTAACAAGCCAACTGGGAGCAGGCCGTTAAGTTGATTCGTAATAAACCCATGAAAGTGATAAATCAGATACAATGAAATATATGAAGTTCATATATTTTGAACTGCGGTATTAGATACGTATGATGCACGATCCTCGCAGTAGATAGCGCTATTTAAGCAATAGCGAAAATCAGACCTGAAAAAAATCAGGCCTGTACGGGATTCGAACCACTGACCTCTGCGATACTAGTGCAGCGCTCTACCAATTGAGCTAACAAGCCAACTGGGAGCAGGCCGTTAAGTTGATTCGTAATAAACCCGTGAAAGTGATAAATCAGATACAATGAAATATATGAAGTTCATATATTTGGAACTGTGGTATTAGATACGTAGTATCGCAGAGTATCGCAGAGGTCAGTGGTTCGAATCCCGTACAGGCCTGATTTTTTTCAGGTCTGATTTTCGCTATTGCTTAAATAGCGCTATCTACTGCGAGGATCATGCATTATACGTATCTAATACCGCAGTTCAAAATATATGAACTTCATATATTTCATTGTATCTGATCCACTGAACTCTTACCAAACACTCTTATTCTCACCTGCGGGATTAACGGAAAACTGCACAGAAAACAGTTCTTTCTGACGATTTTTTTGGAGTTTCTGAAGCAAGGTTTTGAGATCTGTTTTCCATGAGTAATAAGAAATGCGAGAAAATTAAACCCCTCTTGAGAGTTGTTCTATCACAGCTTATGATTGGTTTTCTATTAAACAATAACCAAGCACCAATTGGCTCTACAGTGATCTCCACGTGCTCTCCGTCTGATCTGTTTGAACAAAGGGAAAGGAATGTGCTCATTCGTTTCAGCAGACGTTTGTGGGGAGGAAGATTGCGTGACAAGCCCAAAGAACGTCTGCATAGGAGGCTAGTCTTGAAGAGGCTCTTGATTTTCCAAATGATGCCTGGTACATGTTGCCTTTTCAAGTGTCTATTATACCATGTAAAAAAACTGTGAAGTTGTGGGTTTTATCAATGAGAGTGTTGTAAACTAAAGAAGACGTTTGCCTGAAGAATTGGGCTTTAATCACCAAATCTCATCCTACAAAACATGGCGGCAAAAATTACAACCACGAGGATTACAGGCTCTTATATTAGGACAAATCTCACTAGATATACACTACATGAATTATCACAAACGCCACATCACACAACTTGCAGTGTTCGAATGTTCCTGGTTACTAGCTTAGTTTACAACGTCAATTACCACAGATAGCTAGACTGGAGGAACATCATGGAATTACCATTTCTTGAGGTTTAAAGAGTACAATAGTGGAAGTTAAATAAAATAAAAATCCCTCTCAAGGGAAATATATAATATATATTTTAATATTTCTGTAAATAACTCAGTGGTACATTGCTAATCAAGAAAGGTTTTACCAAACCTAAAGGAATGGCCACCTCACTTGCTACTTTGGTTTCTCTACTCCTTTATCTTAATGTTGATTACTTTGAGTATTGATCATGCTATAATAACTTTACAGTAAACTGTCATAACATGCACTTGTCCTTGTTGCAGGAAACAGTTCAAAATGACACATACCTTGGACTTCTGAAATTTCGGTTCTACATTAGATGCCCAAGATGTATATCAGAGATAACTTTTAAGGTACATGTAACAGTTAGTGCACAAAAGAAGGCTTTTTGCATTTAATTTTGTTTCTGACAACATTTATTATGATCTTCATTCTGCAAGGTAAACCTTGTGGGCAAAAGTTATCTTTACCAAGGCATTTCGCCTGGTATCATAACTTTGTTCTCTTGGGGCACCATGGCTGTTTTTGAGTCTCTCTTTTTTGTTTTGTTTCTTGTTTGAGTTGCCAGCTGATCAAGTAAAATCATTGAGCATTATGGCATATTCCGGTAGTTTTTTATTGCTTCGGACAGAATAGTCAACAGCCACAAATAATGTACAAGTTCCCCCTTACGACGAACTACGTATTTTTTAATAATAAGATGAATACATCTACATAGTAATTTTTATTTTATATCTGTGAATATGCAATTCAGTTCATGCTGTGAAGTATTTACCAATAAAGTATCTATCTATCTATCTATCTATCTATCTATCTATCTATCTATCCATCTATCTATCTAGTGTATAAGCCTTCTAATAAACAAATTTCCATTAACTCAAAATGTACTTTCAAATGCAATATTGCACCATTTGGAAGATCTCACAATGAAAACAAAAAGCTTTAACTTTTAATATTCAGTAGGTTACTCTGACCATTAAGTCAAAAAATTATAATACATTGAATACTTGTGTAATTGTTGCCACCATTGTTGAAAATCTGTTATTTTTGAGATTCACAGTGACTGTAATTCCTCTATTGAAGGGCTAATTAAAAGAATCAAAGCATCAGATATCCAAAGTTTTCTGTGGGAGTTACTTTTGTGTTGATAACTTCACAATTGACAGACTTATTGTAATTGTAAAACATTTATTATTTGATACGTATGATGCACTATCCTTCACAGTAGATAGCGCTATTTAGCAATAGCGAAAATCAGACTTGAAAAAAATCAGGCCTGTACGGGATTCGAACCACTGACCTCTGCGATACTAGTGCAGCACCCTACCAATTGAGCTAACAAGCCAACTGGGAGCAGGCCGTTAAGTTGATTCGTAATAAACCCATGAAAGTGANCGTATCTAATACCGCAGTTCAAAATATATGAACTTCATATATTTCATTGTATCTGATTTATCACTTTCACGGGTTTATTACGAATCAACTTAACGGCCTGCTCCCAGTTGGCTTGTTAGCTCAATTGGTAGGGTGCTGCACTAGTATCGCAGAGGTCAGTGGTTCGAATCCCGTACAGGCCTGATTTTTTTCAGGTCTGATTTTCGCTATTGCATAAATAGTGCTATCTACTGCGAAGGATCATGCATCATACGTATTTAATATCGCAGTTCAAAATATATGAACTTCATATATTCATTGTATCTGATTTATTATTTGAGTTTAAACCTCAGAGTATAATACTGTATTTGTAAATTCCCAACTTTATTTTACAAATTGTGGTGAATATTTTGCACAGTTTAATTCTTATAAGTGCTGCATTTTAATTATGATGTAAACTTTTGTCTTCCTGTCCAATCTGTTTAGACAGATCCTGAAAACACTGATTATGTTTGTGAGAATGGAGCAACAAGGAACTTCCAAGCCCAGAAGCTAATGGAAGATGAAGAGAATAGAAAACAAAAGGAAGAGGAAGAAGAGGAGCAAAACAATCCCATGAAGGTTTGACTGTTATAAACTTACTACTTACTAAAAGAGTTGCTAAAAAATGTGGCCCTTCTCAATCACTGGTCTTGGAAACATCATTTAGGTCCTCAAGTGGGTAAGGTTATTGAAATTAAGTTAGTTTGGAATTTTTACAAGTTTGAAAATGTAAGAACTCGGGGATTTCACCCATGAGTGACTTTCTGAAAAAAGGTGTTTGTGCAAGGAGCCCAGATGTAAGATTAACAACATTTTTCTGGTATGTGTTCCTTTGCATGATTGTCTCTGTTACTGATACTAAAGAAACATTTTAAAATTATTTTCAGTCTGTGCTATATGTATCTTATCTTTTAGGCCTTGGAGAAGAGAACCAAAGAGTCCAAACAGGAGATGGACATTTTAGAAAAGTTAGAAGAGTTACGGGATTTGAACACAAGACTTGCTAATGGTATGTGCTGGGTTTAATTGTGAGGAAAGCACCTAATGAATTATAGTTACCTTCCAAATTCTTGGGTGTTCTCCAGTTGCCTACCTATAGAAATGACCTTTGTCCCTTCCAAAGTGCCCATTCAGACAGCTAGGATACAGGAATTGGTTGCCTCTATTTATTGTCTAGTTATAAGATGCTTCTGGTCTAGATCATTTAATTCTGATTTAAATTGTCAGGTTTCTCTCTAAGTTGTAGTTTTCTGGGCCCAGTTGTTCAAAGGGCAGATCATGCTATCCTAGGGTTGAATTGTCATTCAGTTAGATATATGTTAACGTACTATACTGCACTATCCATTGGACAGAGATTTTTCCAGTGGAGAGCATCATCCATCCTTTATTGGAACATTGGCAACCTGACAAATAACTTTCTTCTTGTTGTGTAGTTGATTATGATACCTTGTTGGAGCTGAATGCAAAGGCAGCAGAAGAGATGCGAGCCAAAGAAGAGGAGGAGGATGAGCAGCTAGTCCAGTAAGCACAGCTTGGGTTGACTTTAACTAACATTCAAAATCAAAGCTTTTAAGGTTGTTTACTAATATTTGTCACAACTCCGGGAGGTAGACAAATATGACTTCTTTGTGAGGGTTCCAATCACAGCCTGTTCCCACTGCTCTTACTAGCAACTGCATTGCAGACAACTTTCTGGCCAGCTAGGTTGTATAAGAGGATTAAAGTTTAATCTGACTTGAAGGAGCAGTTGCTGTTGCTGTACTTTAATGCCTGGCTGCCACTGTTAGCTAGCACATTACATTTTGACTTTAAGAACACATACCTCAGGGCAAATGAGTACTTACCTGTTACCCTGTAAATTATGATGAAAGTTAGTTTCCTTACCACAAAAATTTCATAATTATGGTTGAATGAAAGAAGTCAAAGATTTTTAGGGAATAAAAGCTTTTGAATTGACCTTGCATACAATGTGAATCTCCTTACAATTCCTTATCCCTAAAATACTTTCTGAATATTCCTTTGTTACATTATGGACTTACACAGCTTTTGGATGGTGTCTATGGTTGCTATGCAACCAGTAGATACAAAAATGGGACACTGCATGAGTTGTGTTTGTTCTGGGAAAAATTTTAGATCCATATTTGGTAACCAGAATATCCAGAGAAGATTGGAGGATGTTAGTGATGGTGATGAAGAGGAAGGAGAACAGAAGTCAACCGGAAAAATTGAGAAAAGAAAAGCCACAGACATTTTGGCAGAGGTAAATGCTCCTTCACTGCACCTTTCATTAGCATATGAACTCTAAGGTACATAGCCAAACTTGTGATTTTGCAGCAGAAACAAGTAAAATGGATTTAACCCTAAGCAATCCTTCTATCACATTGCAGAGCCATTTCCTTGGATCCCTATGAAACTGCACTTTTTCCCCTGAGAGGCATCTAACATGATTGAATGCAATGTAAATAGATTTTTGATGATGCACACTGTATGTCATGATTGTTCACATTTTTGAAAAGATAAGTTACATCATAGTGGTTTGTAAGAACTTAGAGTTCTAGAAAACAAAATTGAACATGTGTCAAGTCATAAGTTGAACAATTTGATTGACTTTTATAAAGTCTGGAATGCAGGGAACTCTATTTTAATGGCTGGGAATGCCAATAAGACAATCACATGACTTATGGAGGGCATATAGTTTAGTTGTGGCCCGAGTAGCATCATTTGTGCCCAAGTGGAGCAAGGGTGCAAATGATGCTATGAAGGACACAAAATTAATAAACTATATGTCCAACAAGTCATGTGATCATCATTATCAATGCATGAGGCCAAATTGTACAAGTTCATTCATGAAAATCAGAATCAGGGCAGCAAATGCCACTTGGCCCATGCAAAGGAGTGTTTTAGAGAGGGCAGTTTGTCATTTGGCCACATGTAATAACAGTGCTTATCTTGCATTTTTTTTTTTTCTCGTGAAAACACATCTTCCACCATTATGTCAATTATTTTTTTCATAACTTAAAAACCATGATCTGTTGTCCAAATCTATCATCTCCTTACATTATGGAAGAACTTTAAACTACACATGCTGTAGAAGTCAAAAGTCATTGTGTTCTTTCCCTTTTGATTAGAATTTTCTGGTTGAATTTTTTTTTTAATTTTAAATTGTTTTCAGGATGTCTCCAACACATCTCAACCAGCTCAGAAAAAACAGAAGACCCTAAGTAATGTTGGCATTGGGAAACTGAAGAACAAATCACTACTGTCATCATTAGTAAAAGTTAACAAGGACAAAGCTAAAGAACAAAAAGTTCCAGGGAAAGCAGCCGTTAAGCCAGGAACAGCCTGTTCTGAACAGAAAGATGTGATACAAAATTCTCATAAAGACACTGTCAAGATAGATGATGTAAATAAAGCTGGGACAAATGGATCATCACTAGGATTGCTAGGGAACTACAGCAGCAGTAGTGAAGATTCTGATCACTAGGGTCAAGATTATTAATTTTGTAAGTTTCAAAAAATGACAGGTGCCCCAATAATTTTTTTTTATTAAGTAGATATTCATTCAGAGGGAAGAGTCAAAGGTCAACATATTAATAAAGTATTTGATTGCAGGCTCTCCACGTAAATTCTTGAATGTATGTTGGGGGTGTACTGCTGGATTATAATTTTATACCTACCGGTAATTTACTCTTTCCATTTAAACATTCATCTGCGAATGGTGTTTAAATAAACAAATCAATATACAAGCAGGAGTTCACTATTGTTTAATTCTATATTAGGTGTTACTTTTAACAGTGGGTTAATTTACTTAAATAGTCTCTTTGACAATGGTTGCTGTGACTACACTTATCTATCTTTTTTTTCAATTGGTTGCCACTGCTGCTCAGCATCTTTTCTACAAGATCATACTACTTATTTCATTGTAGAAAATATAACTGAAAAACACGTCTACGGAAATGTGCAAGACATGAAATAATCTGTGATCGTGACAAAAGAGGTGTGCATGGAATTAAAACCTGGTAAATGCTGTTTGAAAGCAGCACAGAGCTAAAAAGGAGGGAGAATTGGGACTGATCACATAATAAAAAGGTCTCTAAGTCTCATTAAATCTTTTGCACTCCTAAGATCACATTAGTAATTCTCCTTACAGTCTGCTGTACAATTCTCATGTTGTTGGTTCAGAGAATTTGGTATTGGATCAACTAATAATGCCCTAATTGATATTTTTCTTTATTCTCATCACTTGTCTGCTTGATATTGTATTGATAATGTAAGGAGAAATTATGTCTTGGTCACTCCTGGGAGTTAAGGAGTTAGCGACATGTAAGTACATACATAAGTTAGAGTAACTTTATGCAAAAATAGTTATGTTTAGAATGCATGAAAATGGTTTGAAGAAACATGCAATATACATTTCTGAAAATACCATCAATGAAAAGATTATTCTGTTAATGTAGCCTGTTTCATCTCAACTGCACAGATAACATTTAAAAATAAAACAAAACAAGAATTAAGAGAAGTTTGTGCTTAATAATTTACCTTTTATGGGTATTTTTCTTCTCTATCAAAAGCAGCACCCAAGTGGCAGTTTTGGTGCACTGCATTGCATACTTAAACTTGCATTAGAAATGAAAACCAGCCTCAAGACACTACATTTCTTGGAGCTAACTGGATAACAGACAAATGAGTTTGGCTATAAATATCATGGAGTTTTTTCAGAAAGGCTCATGCACTAATACCTAACAAAGTACATAATATTAATTAATATATAATGTTATGATTACACTGTCTGTGAAAATTTGTTTCTTTTAATTCTAACAATATGTACAGCGAGATAGTAAGAAGAGTAGCTTGTTTCAGAAAACTGGAACAATACTTCTTTCTTGCATATTGATTTTAGCCTTCTAAATTGACTGTCCTTCCAAAAAATATTGTGAGTTATTTCCCAATTTAACTCTGCAATAAATAGAGATAATGAGAAGGGGTAGTGATGCCAATGAGAGGCAGTTTTGGACTTCAATGCTGAAAAAAAAAATTTCTTATTTTTTCTATACTTTTAGTAAAACCAACTTGTTTTTTTACAACCATACAGACAGATATAGTATGTACCTTTCAAACAAATACCAAGGTTAAAGCAATATTACTCTGGAGTAAATTTTATCAAACATGAAGCTAAAAGATCTTGTTATCTTTAACTTATTAAGATGACTGGCTTATCTCTCAGGAATTTGTGGCTTCATTTGAGACACCATTGTTAACAGCTCGCCACAGCCCATAGGTCTTGCCCACAGTGTGCTGCCAAAGTCGCAGTGTTCCGTCTTCAGACCCAGATGCATACAGCTCACCATCTGGGGAATACCTCACACAATGCACAGGACCAAAGTGACCTTTGAAGGATTCTAGAACAAAATTGTTGGCAGAAGTAAACTTAAGTGATTGCTTATCATAACCCCCTATAACTCCTGTGATCTGGTTGTTAATTCTCGCCTCCAGCTGTTACACATTTTCTTGTAAATTGGTTACAAGAATTTGGTGTTCAATCAAGGTAACAAATTCTTCCTAATAAGTTTGAGTATTCTCATTACCTGTTTACTGGATAATGAATGGATATTATGGGGAGAAGTTACAGATTAATCACTTCTGGGTATTAAAGGGTTAACCTAAGCTTCTCTTAACAGTATCATTCCTGAATCAAACATTAAGATCACAAGAATAAAGGAAATGATGATTATTCAGCAAATTCTCTTTGTTAGTACCTTATCAAACATAGAGAGAACAGTATGGAGAGCTTGCAATCTGATGTAAGGATGTAAAGGGGTTTAGAAAAAGTACGAGTGTCTACAGTGAAGATACCCAAAATATGTGCTGAATGAATGCTCTTAGGGACATTATGTCTGAGACAACTAAAAAAAATTTGATTGAAACAGACTTATTCCAATTTGAAAATTGACAAGTTTCCTGACTGGCAAGGGGTAGAAATAAAAAAATCATGCCCTGAAATTATGGAAGATAACATCATAAGTTGATGGTTGTTGAAAAGGGTTCTTCCTGAAAAATTGTAACAAAATGTTCCTTACGAATACTTCATTCGTATCTATGACCACAGTTCAAAATATATGAACTTCATATATTCACCGTATCCAAAATGTTCCTTGTCAACAAAGATACAAATAACACCATGATCTCACCTATTTCCTTTCCATCCTCATAATCAAACTTATAGAGCTTGAAGTCATCTCCTCCAGCTACAAAACAAGACTTGCTAGGGTGGAGCGAAGCTGAAAATATTGGTGTCGGAGCATCAAAGGACTTGATCAGTTCCATTCTAAACAAAATAACCAAACAGGGGGCATAAACTCTTCAACTCCCACCAGTGAAAAGCAAATAATTTCTCTACAGAATATTAATACATTAGTGACCCACTGCATAAGACATTTTTTAGAGAAAAGACTATTGAGTTGGTAACAAGAGCATTTACAGAGAGGGTGTGGGAAAGCAGCTGGATAGTTGGAATTAAAGTACCCCAGAAGTACATTTTTTTTTACTCTTTCTTGCTCCTACTTAAAACTCTTTATGAGATAAAAGCCACTCTCCATTTTAGACTACTCACCTGTCTGGATCCCAAAAAGAGATAGTCCTGTCATATGTGACAACAAGTATACTGCCATCCTTTGATAGAACCATGCTTGTTACACTCTGTGGTATTTCTACTTTCTTTACCTCGGTCATATTTCTTGTATCCCAAAGCCTACAAACACAAATCACTGGTCAGGAGTAAATTTTCAATTTCCCTGGTTTTACTTCAAAATTTCAAGGAGAGCTGAACACCTTTTTAATTCACTGCATTTGAGATCCTGAGTACTTATAAAATAATATTGTTTTAGTTGATGAAATAATAGTTATGGAATGCCATTGCACTCCAACCAATAATAATTTAAAACCTAAAGGACGGACCATTATTTTTCTGAAGGGGTACGAGAAATATTGAAGAAAATCGTTTGCAGGATCTGATAAGACAGAATACATTGTTTGTAAACATGATAGGGTAAAACAAATGTTTGTAGAGAAATCAGGCAAGATATTAAGAAATATCATTTAAGACTAACACAATTTGGACACTATTTCTTGTAGTATGCCCTTTATTTGCATCAGTAGCTGCCAAGTAAGTGGAGCATATATCAACAAAATAAGTGGCTATAGCGCACTATTATGTTCTTCGTAAAATAGTTCAGTGAGGAGGCAATGGTAACATTTCGTACATAAAAAAAGGACCCTGAAAAAAAAGGAGAAAAAAATTGTTTGCATGAAGATGATGTTGGAAAAAAAAAAATGTTTGCAGAGATGTATCCATTGAAAAAAATGTTTGTAGAAAAAAATTTCTCATACCCCTCCAGAAAAGTAATGGTCTGTCCTTAACATGGACATATCAAATGGGATGAACTTCAGGAAAAAAATTTTAAAAAAAAACAAAAAAACAAACAAAAACAAATTAAAAAGGAAGAGATAGTCTAGGAGATGCTAGAAGTTCATTCCAGCTCCAACAAAAGCAAAATGCAGGTCACATCTGATATTTACCACTGGAATGTCACCAGAGAGAAATCAAGTTGTGATAAATGTATCTGAATATACCTTACTGCTTTATCTTCTCCTCCACTCATGATATACTTGCCATCTTTGCTCCACAGTGCAGCTCTTATGTCTTCAGTATAACCTTTTAATAAGTCTGGTTCTAAAAAATGTATGACACAATCAATAGCAACAGAAAGTAATAGCTTAGTTACAAGCCTCAGATAATACTAACTGTATGTACAGAAAACTTGAGTCACTATTAAGTACCCATAACCCAAATGATTGAAAGGAAATAAATTGAAGAACTATTTACCAGCACTTTCATCTTGAAGATCAAATACTCTCAAGAGCTTTTCATTACTGGCTGTAAGGAGTCTCTTCCCATCCTAATGACAAAAAAAATTACTGTAACACTGAGCTGTAGAAAAAGTAATTTGGATATATCAACAAAGTTGAAATGGTAAATTGGCCACCGTAACGCTTCGCTCTGACGAAGGGCTAACGCTTGAAATGTCAGCTTTTGTAATCATTACGGTGGCCAATTTACCATTTCAACTTTATATATCCAAATTATTTCGTTACTCCCACCGACACAGCCCCAAACAGTTTCTTTCAAAACTATCAGCCTTTAATGATTCGTAGAAAAAGTAGTCTAGTCTCAAAATATAAGGTAAGGTAAAGGTAAAGTCTGTTTACGAGCCTAGTGGCCCATTAGGCCGGTGCTTAACTCCGGTTTCTGTAGCATGAAGTGACTAGGAGTATTTCTACTCCTCCCTGGATGGGATGCCAGTCCATTGCAGGGTTACCCCCAGCATTAAATTGCCAGTACCCATTTATACACCTGGGTGAAGAGAGGCACTGTAAGAGTAAAGTGTCTTGCCTAAGAACGCAACACAATGTCCCAGCCGGGGCACGAATCCGGACCACTCGATCCGGAGTCGAGCGCACTAACCATGAGGCCACCGCACCTCCACAGTCTCAATATAAACACCTCCACAAAATTAGACATCAAAGGTAAAGGTCTCTATTTCTTGAAACAACATACGTGTTTAGTTACAATTTTAAGGTTGAAATCAGACAGGCACCTCTGGTAGCCGTGTTTAGTCCATAGCGATTTCACCTACCCACCCAACCCAGCCCAGGGAGGACATCCATCACACAGTAATCTCGTGTGTGGGAAATTAATGTCTCCTACCCCAACCCTGCAGGAGACGGGACCTCCATTTATTCGTCCCTATCCGAGAAGACTAGAATATCTAACCATTTCTTGATGTTAAAGAAAGGAAGCATATTCTTCTCAATTAATTTTAAGACCCTGAGTGTTGGTCCGGCCGGTATTGAACTCTCGACCTCCCGCACAGCAGTCCGGCGCTCTCCCAATTGAGCTAACCAGGCGGCGGTTAT